CATAATTAAATATTAATTAAAATTTCAAAAAAAAAGATTAATAACTATTTACATGAATTATAATATAATTCTGAAAATGAAAAATTTTAAATTAAACCACCAATCTATCTTGAGGCTATTCGAATGCGCATTTCGACAAATAATTATTTACTTTATTTGTACAGCAAATAATAGAGCAGTAGCTGATTCCCAATTATAAATTCAGTATGTTGTGATCACGTGACGATTAATACATGATACCGGAATACCAGAAATATATATTAAATCAATACTATATAACTCGTGGAATCATCGACTGACCAATTAAAACAGAATATCCAAATAACCTTATTAATTTTAAACGCCGATAAATAACACGCTAATATTTTTGACTGACAGCTAAGAGATTAATTTGCTAAATAATAATTTTATATTCACAATTAATAAATGAAAAAAAAAATTGTTTTTCAATCATTGAACCCTGATAGATAAAGGAAAGTACCCTGATGCTGGGCATTGTTTTCTTTCAAGCCGAACGACCTTTCTATGGCTTGCATGGAGAAAAAACTAGGCCAATTTATTAAAGTTAACTATAACCATCGATTTTAGTCTGCTCCATCTGCTATCAAGGGGGAATTTTCATCGATTTATAACGGAAGCTTCGGATAAACAAACGTGTCAGTTAAATAGATGTCCAGAAAAATACTAAAATTGTGACCAAGTTTCAAGACTTGTTAAGTCGAGAGTATATTAAAAAAAATGTCATTAAATAATAAAGTGGAGTAATATTTAATCTCCGTGATTAAGCTACGAGACGAGTGCGTTTTAAATATTTAAATAGAAAAGATAAAAATAAAAACGCGGCACGTAGCAACAGGGTTCGATTTCCTGGCAAGTCCGGGGGATTAACCTCACGTTTCTTTCACCTGTTTCTCGTTAATCAAACAAAAAAAATGTACCGTACAAAACGGATTACACTATCATACCATTAAATAAATTTAAATAACAAGAACAAAATTGAATTTTACAAATAAAAAGAATCTTTCCCCTGCACTATTTATCGTTTTTTTTTTTTTTTCACATCTTTATCCTTACCAATTTCTCATCAAAGCAGTAGAGAAGTATAAATAAACAAAACAACGGACAACTTTAAATAAAAGTGTCCAAGAAGTTTAGAAACTTAGAATGTAAACTTTAAAAGGACCCGGTGCTTGTTGGGAGTTTTAATCCAATTCAAGGCACTCGCATCCTCGGGCGTTAACGTTTCTGGTGCTTACAGGTGTCCCGGAGTGGTATAGCTCGTCCGGCAACCAAGTCTCCGGTACTTAGCTCCTCAACGTTAACAAACACTGCTAAGCCTGACAGTAAATCCACTAAACTCTTACAGCATATACATCCTCACAGACACAGTTGACGGTCCACAAACACACACCCCCAGGGCAATCGGGAGTGCACCCGTTTTCAGAGGCCAAAGTCCTCTCGAGGTTTAATAACTCGAGTGAACAGACGACGACAGCAGACCGCGCCGGCGTCCAAGAATTAATCGGCTATTTCCAAGTAGTAACACCACGCGGTTCGTCCGCCGTAACCAGGGGCTTCACAATACTAAAATTTGGACTTTACATCTGTTAAACTTCGGAACATCAATCCCTGGGCATCATTTGTAAACTCTACCAGTGGCTCATTAATTTATTAACTTAATTAATCATCATTATTTAACCACTCAGTGCAATGATAATCACCATTGACTTAATTAATATTTAATATTTTCAATTAAAAAAAAATATGACTTGATTAAGCTTTTAGTTTAAAACGTTGTTAAACGTGGATACATTATTAAAAAAAATTAATAATTAATAATTGGAGTCCATGAATGCGCGTTAATGTCTTTGCGCGATAACAAACTAACGGACCCCTATATTATTACTATAAAGACGACGTAAAAGCCGTACTCGCGCGTAAGGCTGGAACGTAACTACTGAGAAGATATGCTCGGATGTAGCTTTGAAGCTGGATGATGGTACCCCAAGCTCACGAGTCGCAGCAGCACCTGCGGTATAAGCACGCCCCGCTGGCGAAGGGGATTCTTGTCATCTCCTACTACCACCCGGCTCCCTACTAACACAGCATCCCCTACAAATAAACACACACACACACACACACACATCGAGGGACTTCCAAGAGAGAAACTACAACGAGCGAATGGGAGGGTGAGAGAGAGGATGCGAACACATACACCTCCGCCTACATCTAAATGATCATATACACACACTCTCCTGTGTAACATACCCTTATTCATAGATATAGAGGGAGATTGAGTATATAGTAGTGCTGCCTGCGATTTCGCGTGAAGCTGCGGACTGGACCACCACGCAACCCCCACCATTTTTCGAGCTGCTCGCCCGCTTGCCACCCTATACGAACGACCACCCCCCGACCTACAGATCAATATTGTGCCCAGCGTGCCGCGGGACGAATTTCTCATCCTACTTCATCATGCGCTTTTACTCAATTCTTGTACTCTTTCTGGTCCTCTTCCTCCTCTACTTCTTCTTCTTCTTCTTCTTCATCTTCCTCGACATAACCTCCTATCCCATATACCTACATACTGGTGTACCGGCATATATACCCACTGCTCCTACTCCTATATACACTGGGGCTTCTTCCTCGAGCTCTTCTATCTGGATTCCCCGTCCTTATTATCGCGAACCCATAATACTGGGTCTAGGCCTCTTACTACTCCTCTCTCGCCATTATTATAGGCACTGTACCTGATACTGAGCTCTCTACATCTACATCTACCTAAACCAACAAATCTGTAAGACCGATACTGAACCAAACTGAGGACAAGGAAAAAAAAATTACGATGATTTAAACGATACAGTACCTCCGGGATTTACTTTTGAAGATTTACAAACCCAATTTTTTATACGAGTATTTTCAAATCTCGGAGAATTATTGTTGATGATATATTTCGGAGGAGTATCGGATTTAAATATGGATTTTCAGTTTGTTTTAGTCGTAAGTTAATGACCTATTTAATATTCACGAATTTATTATTTTTATTTTAATTTCAAATTGTTATTATTATTATTTGAAGAGAAATTTAAAGTTGTAGAACGGGAATGGGGAACACAGCCGTGGATTTAGTTCATTACAATGCGAAGAGTTGTAATTATTACGAGTAGCATATTCAACAGGACCGAGTCAACAAGTTTTTGCACGTGGTGTTTAAATTTATAGTAGCAGAGTAGTGGTTTCTCGGTTGTTATATTCGTATGTTTGTGTTAAATTATAATTCGAAATGAATTGAAAACAATGAACGACACGCTCAGCAAAGGGTGTATGTGTATGTGTATGCATATATATCGGCATATAACTATCTAAACGTGCGATAATCAATAGTTGTTGTTCTACTTTTGAGAAATTAGCTAGTGTGGTTTACTCGTGATGTATTCAAACAATATATTTGTCGGATGTATAGTCTATATAATGACAACCGTATTTTGTTTAGTGTTTTGTTTGTAAATGTATCTATCCTTTAATATTAATAGTATTGTGAAAATCGATCCATTTACAGAATACTCATTGTGCCGGTATAATTTTTACATAATTTTATTATTTATTATTTTCACGTATTTTTAAAAATTGTTATTGATGACGATTCAACAGATTTCAGAAATGTAATAAAAAAATATTCAACTCTAAAATTGATGTCTCATCAATATTTATGACACATAAAACAAGCCCGTGTTTGGAGAAAAAGTTTCGTACATATATAGGTGTTTATTAAATTTAAAACACTCGGCAAAACTTTTTCAAATTCAAAGTACACGCGAGTACTAAATCACCGTGTATACGTTGGCTGGGTAATGGCCCTTTACGATATCACTATTTCGAAGAGCCATATTCATAAAAATACGATTGCCTGTATGGATAATTCAAGAGAAATAATAGATTATAAATTCATGGCTGGAAACCTATTAATGAAATGAAAAATGCTATGAAACGATAAGCAAAAAGATAAATTCCATCGGATGACTGAGACCTCACGCATGCGATCAAACTTCGAAAAAGATGGAATGTACCACACATAAGTTTCTAGTTCAGCGGATGGTTAAGAAGGTTTTCAAGAAAATTTTTCATGTTTCATATCGTGTGATAATAAAAATGTAAAGGATGACGGTCACTAGTATGGGTTTACTGCCGGAATATTTTATCTTATTAAGGTAGTTATTACGTGATAGGCATTTCAACAGAAAATTATGAAATTTTTTTTATCGAAAGATAAATATATTAATAATTCACGACTAAAATTTCAGATCAATTGACCGAACCGTTTTTGAGTAATTAATTTTCGAAATTGCATCTTTTACACGTAGAGATATGGTAAAGTTAGTATGAAATTATTTGGCCCACCCGAGTGGTACGGAAGATTTCATACTAACTTTACCATCTCTCTATACCTCTACGTGTATCTTTTACACGTAGAGATATGGTAAAGTTAGTATGAAATTATTTGGCCCACCCGAGTGGTACGGAAGATTTCATACTAACTTTACCATCTCTCTATACCTCTACGTGTATAAGATGCTATTTCGAAAATTAATTACTCAAAAACAGTGCGGTTAATTAATCTGAAATTTTAGTCGTGAATATATTAATATGTTTATCTTTCGATAAAAAAAATTTCATAATTTTCTGATGAAATGCCTATCACACAACTACCTCAAGCTATTGAAGACGCGAATGCACTTTTGATAAGTTAGCAAAAAAACGGTTTTAAACTATTCTTATTTTTTAAGCTGTATAATATTATTAGCTTAATAAAAGTTTAATATTTCATAAATAAATACAGTAAATTTGCTGCTCAAAATAAATCAAATCATTTTTTTACTCAAAAAAATTAAAAAGAATAATTATAAAAAAATTTATTAAACAGCGACTTGTTTGTATTAAATAATAAATTTTATTTCAATATTTCACTCACAGGGCTGCTTACAATTATTTATAGTAATAACTTAATTAAATTCTGTAGAATTTAGTAACAAGATAGGTTCAGGCTGGTTGTTAGCATTTTCAGAAAAATTTTTATCTTTTAAAGCTAAAATTAAGTATCTTATAGCAGAAATCCATGCATTGCATAATGCTGTGTGGTTCGTCATTAAAAAAACATGAATTTTATCTGCCGTTTCTATGTCGTTGCGCAGTAATGCTGTAAAAAGTAAATATTTAGTAACTAAATTTAACAATTGATTGATTTTTCAACATCCTGGTATTAAACCAACCTTTAGATAACTCCAACATTTTTTCATGTATCTGACTATTTAGTTTATCATCAAGCCACATGGACTTCATGACATCTAGTCGCCGTTTGACTTCCTCAGTTTTATCACCATTTTCAAGTTTGCTATCAATAATCTTCTGGAAATTATTAATACTGTCAGTTAATGACTGCTGTTTGTTAACCGTCGACGAAGTAGCATCTGCTGTAATGCTTGAAGGAGCTAGAAGAGGAGCGTGAGGTGCTGAGGTTAAAACTTGTCCCGGTCCTGGGCTTGGAAGCATCGGAGGTGGAAGATTTGAACCTAAGACTTGATTAGATTGACTAGCGGGTCCAGTTGATGAATTCAAAGGAAATGCAACACGTTTGTTCAATAATCTTTTTGTTGGTGTACTGCCAGTAGCTGGTGTTGGAGTGAACGCCCATTTTGGTGGATCATTCCAACCTGGGTCATGTGACGCTTGAAGTTTCTTTTGTGTCGAGACTACTTCGTCTGTTTTTATTAAATAATTCATCAGAAATGTAAATATCAAGTTATACCATATGTTAAAACGTTAAAATTTAATTACAATTTTTAATGTTTAATTTGTCTTTAATTATAAGATAAATTTATTAAATTATATGAAAATAATTACGTACCTTTTTTTTCTTCCATTGTTAATGTAAATCAACTTTATTTATCTTGACATGAATGACTTATTATTTATTCTTCCACATGTTTTACACCTCATTCTTTGTTATTATTATGATCAAAAATATATAATAGCAGGTAACGACATGAGCGGTAAATGATAATATATTATTTGACGTTAAATTTTTCGGATTGCTCTAATTTATATTGACAACGATTACGAACCGACGAACGGAGGTATTTAATTTATAGTTAATATAATTGATGAAAGATAATTTTAAACAAAAATTTATATTGTATAAATTATATACTATAAATTATTTTTCACTTACCAACAGTGCAGAAATAATGACAACGATTTTTTCACCATGATCTGCTGAAGCTGTGGTACATAATACATCATGATGTAGCTTGAGTTGAAAGATCTGAAAAACAATATAAAATAGGAAAAATTTTATGACACTAAAATTAACAGACATGTGATAATTTTTTTTTTTTTTTAAATAAACTATGTCTAAAAAAAAAATTTATTTTTTAAATCACATTTATAATTTTTTAGATAATAATAAAGCTAGTCGACATTTTTTATTTTTTTTAAGTTATATTTTTATAGTTTTTCAAATTTTTTACAAATGAAATTTTTTAGAAAGTTTTTTTGTAGTAATTTTTTTTATAAAAAAAAATTCTAAAAATTTGTAGATGTCAGCTAACTTTATTGTCATATTTTTTAGAGCCTCTAGAGATTGAATTTTTTAAATAAATTTGTTTGCTAAAATGTTTTTTTTTTTTTTTAAATTATGACATTTAATTTAGCCGTCACTCGACAATTTTTTAATTTTCTTTAACAAAAAAATTTGTTCCAAATAATTACTTTTAAAAAATTGCATTTTTTAATTTTATTAAATTTCTTGAAGCCCATTTTTTTTGTCATAATTTATTTATTAAATAAAATTAAAAAGATTGTTAAGTGACAGCTATATTTAATATTATTCAAAAAATTCTAAAAAAATTTATTAAAAATATGCCGAAAAGTGAATTTGATTATTATTTTATAAAAAAAATCCCAAAATTTTATTTATAATTTTAAACTTCAAATATTTTATTAAATTACGATGAATTTCTAAAAATTATTACCTCCATCAATTCTCTAGTAGTTAAATTATCATAACTCAGCATAATTATCATCAGAAATAACTAAAATAATTAATAAAACCCCAAAAGTACTAAAAAATATACATTTTTGATCGTAAACCGACTCCTGGCTGGCGAATTATGAACAATCACGCCACCGGACGCTACTAAACCTGTCCGGACAAGTTTACTGCTCTCTAATTGGCTCAAAGTTTCTTGCCCTCTGATTGGGCCGCGCTCTGCCGCGAATTTCAAATTAGTACCTTTTTTTCCACTGCGCGGCGCTTTAGTCGCGTTTATTTTTGTTTTGTTTTGTTTTTCCACTCCAACCGTGACAGAAAAAAAGTTTCCTTACTGAATGCAAGCAATCCACTTTTTCTAATCATAACATCACAACAATCTGCTCTGATTCTCTGATTCTCGTGCATTAAATTCGAATTTACTTTAAAAAAAATCATTATTCACTTGACAATCATCTTAACCTTTATATTATTTCATAATTACGTTCATACAATTGTAATTATTAAACAAAGTTATTGATTTGTTATTTTTTTCTGTTACACTAAACTCTCAAGAGAGGTTACAAGTAAGTTTGCCATGTTTTTAACCTATTGAATCAATGATTATTATATTTTATTATATTTACGCAATTAAACTACGTCACTTATGCTAAAAATTTTTAAAATAGATAATTTTAAAAATAAATATTTTTAGGTTCGTTGTAAAAATAGCTAGGCTAGTCATTACCAATGAACCACTTGGAATATAATTTATAAATTAATCTTTATTTTAAAATTTTTCATAGTACTAAGTGTTGACTGTATATTATATTATATTAATTAAAATAATTTTATTGTTTGAAGAATCAGTTGAATGACATCAAAAAATGCCGGGAAAAATAAAAGTAAAGATATTAGCAGGAAGAAATTTGCCTGTGATGGACCGATCAGGCGACACAACGGATGCTTACGTTGAAATAAAATTTGGAAATACGACCTACAAGACTGATGTATGCAGAAAATCATTGAATCCTCAGTGGAACACCGAGTGGTACAGGTTTGAAGTTGATGATGCTGAGCTGCAAGATGAACCGCTGCAAATAAAGCTTATGGATCATGATACTTACTCGGCTAATGATTCTATTGGCAGAGTTTATCTCAATTTAAATCCTTTACTGCTACCAGGTCATCCGTTGACTATTAAAAATATATGGACATTGGAAGCTACTATGAATACTAGCGCTGGTGCTCAAGGAGGTAATTTTTATCTTAGTATTAATTTTGTTATCATTATTTTTATAACTTTATAACTATTTCTTATTATTTAAAAAATGATTTCTTAAAATTTAATAAATAATTTTTACTGGCCAATAAATAATTTTAAAATTAAACAATCATTTTTTTATAGTTAATAATTTAAATTATTGATATTTAATATTCATACTTTGATATTTTTGAAGGCTCTGTTATGACTGGCTGGATACCTGTTTATGATACGATGCACGGTATTAGAGGAGAAGTTAATATCATCGTAAAAGTCGAGTTATTTTCAGACTTTAATAAATTCAAACAGTCGTCTTGTGGAATTCAGTTCTTTTATTGTAAGTTTTTACAATTATTCACTTTTTAAGGGTGTAAATCTTTTTTTCAATTAATTGAATTATTATTTAGCGCCAAATGTACCTCACGGATATCATGCCCAAGTAATTCATGGCTTTGTAGAAGAATTAGTGGTCTCAGATGACCCGGAATATAAATGGATTGACAAAATTCGTACTCCTCGGGCATCAAATGAAGCAAGACAGACATTGTTCTTTAAACTTAGCGGTGAAGTTCAAAGAAAAATTGGTTTAAAAGCCATGGATCTAGGTGGAAATGCTGTAATTGGGTAAATACATCAGGAAATTTATTTAAAATAATAATTTCGTATTTATGATAGAAAAATGTCGTGAAAGGAAAAAATAAAGATTTCGATAGCTTTTTTGCCTTTAAAAGTTGGAAAAAATTTTAGCTTTCATTTTTTTGGATACAGTTTCTATTTTATCTTTTTTTGATATTTTTTTTTTTAAAAGTACATAAAAAACGAACAATTTAAGAAAAAAAATTTAACATGGCCTAGCATGGGTTGACTTCACTTGTAAATAATTTCCAGCTAGTTTTCTAAATAAAAATTTAAAAACTGAGTCTTAATTTTTTTTTAGTTTTAAAATTAACATCAGTCGTTACTTTGAAATTATTTAATTAGAAGACAAAAATTTATAGAAAGACTTATTAATTACAGATATGTGCAGAATTTTGATTTGGAAGGCGAGTCTGGAATCGTTGCTCGTGGTATTGGAACAGCAGTTACAATTATTAAGCTTCAGGATCTTACTCAGTCATTAATTGAAACTCCTGTTATCGACGAGTGAGTATTTTTTTTTTTTAAATATTAAATTACTTAAAATTATAGTCCCACATCTAATTAATTACCAATATTAAATTTAGTAAGAAATAAGATGAGATAATTATCAATTAAATTTATTCACAACTTTTTTATATATAAAACAAAAATTAATATTTAATTTTATCTGCCCTGACCTGCATGCAGCCTCGCGTGTGTGCACCTAAAAAATCACATAGAATTATCTGAGAGTGACGATAGTTTGCCACTACTTTCTTCCTCGCCAAATCGTAGCCCCATAAATCCTTTACATTTCCCAAACGTAAAACTCCAGATGACTCAAGTGGGTAATAAATTTCCAAAAAGTGGTCAAGAGCGAGAAAGATTATCAACTTATCCACGTCAATCTGTTAAAGTTCAAGAATTCAAAGCAATCGCTATGAAAGCACGTCAATTGTCTTTGCAACACAGCCCAGTACCGAGTGTACGTAAATGTAGCACCACTTCATCAACTCAATCGATATCCGATGACTTGATTACCGAGTCATCGGTCAAAATGATGTTAGCGTTAGAAGATATGCGCGGTGAAAGCACGTCAGTATTTTCACGCGGCTTAAAAAATCTTAAATACCTACCTAAGCGAGTAATACAAATGAAGAGCAAGCTGTCAGATTCTCTTGACGATGAAAGTGATCAAGACAGTACTTACTCTAGCAATTGGTCTGTTGTCGGGTCTGATTCAGGAAGATCTTCAATCACTGACTTCAGACAGTCAATGAGACGTAAAAAGTTTACCCATAAAAAAAATCTTTCCGAAGGTAGCATGGCTGCTATGCTAATTCGATCTGTTCATACGGGGTTTCTTGATAGTGTTAGAGAAGATCATGAGACTCCTGCTCCATCACCAGTTAATTTACTGACTAAAGATAATGAACATTCTAGTGAGCTTTTGGACAGTCCAGATGAAGCTGTACTTGAGTTGAAATCAATCAAGGAAGAAATAATTAAACTTACAGTTGAAAGCGAGTTCAATAAAGCGAAGAAGAAGAAATCTTTTAAATATAAAAAACGTAGACCTATGATTTCATCTTCTGAAACAGATACTTCGACTTCAGATGATGATGATCCATCGGAATCTAGTACTAATTACAACATTCTTGATGACTCGTCTGTTGCTGAAACTATTGAACTCAAAGATATGGAAATTGAGCAGGATAATTTAAAAATTAATGAAATTGAGTTGTTTGATTTTGGTGTTAAGATTTTGAAAGAAAATTCTAGTAAAGAAAAAGACGAGATTATAAATATTGTAAGTGGTGCAAATCTTAAAAACTTGGATAAAGTACATCAAGATTCTTTGCCAGAAGGTTTGATTCTTGACCTCGATGGAACTAATGACACATCTATTTCTTCAGTCCCGTCAACTCCTGAAAAAGATGTTGAAATTTCACCCGAGGATACGGTACTGAAAAGAGAACCCACTCCGACGAATTTAAAAACTTCTTCAAGTTTTAAATTGAAACTTGTCGGCAAGCAAAGTCATTTTGACGCTTCGGAGGAAGGTGTATTGATTTCTACGGGAAGAAATGATAAAAATGATTCAGTTTTAAGCGAATCTATTTTACCAGTTCCTGAATTATTCGCATCAGTTGAACCTTATATGGAAAATTTATTACAACCGCTGATAGAATCAAATTTAGACAGTGATGCAGGTTGTTCTTTTGAGACTTCAGTGGAATTGATGGATAAAAATAATGATAATGAAGAAGTTTCTAACCCTTCTGAGAAAACTATTGTTATTGATATGCCAAATGAACCAGAAGTTTTATCAATTTCCGAAATTAATTCTGATTTTGAAGCAAAACTAGATAAAGCCAGTAATTTTGAATCGGGACATAAAGAAGGGATAGATGATTCTAATATTAAGCTGAAGGAAAATATAGTTAATCCTGAGTTCAAACTTGAAGAAGAAACAACTCAGAATAATTTAGAATTTAAAGTAAAAAAAGACTTAGAGTTTAAATTTGATAAAGAACTAGTCAGTCTTTCACCTCAACTTGATAATAAAATAATAAACCCAGTGCCTAAGTGTGAAGAAATAATATTGGATCCATTACAAGGTCCTTTACCTTGCAAAAAATATTTAACCCATTCAGAATCATTGGACTCTCAAAATTCTGACGGAAAGAAAGAAAAAACATCAAAAAAAGTCTCAAGAACAGACACTGTAATCTACCGAGGCCCGCTGAGAGAAAAAGACAAGCCACATGTGGAAGTTAAATCTCATGCAGAAAAACCAAAAAAACCTCTTCCTCCACCGCTCGTCCTAGCTCCACCAGTAATAGTATCAGAATGCGACCCCAAATTCCTTCAAGTGCCGATGTTTGATACCAAAGACATAAATGTTCGCAGTCCATATCCTTCTCCTCCAATATATCCTTCATATCCCCAAGAACCTGTTTACAAAATCGAGACTCAAAATCCGGAAGCATTTATGGCGCAGTTCAATGAAAAATTCAATCGAAAGTTTCGTCAGCATGCAATGCTGGACTTGATGAAATTAATAGACACAAAAATGATGGTTCATCGCCGAGATTCGACCAAAAGTAAGAGACGTCGTCGAGACCGTGTTAATTTCACGTCGACACCTTCGCCTGATTCTTTACACCGAGGAAAACGTCGACACTCTTCGAGATCACGATCTCCTGAGTCGCATCACCACCATCATCACCATCACCACCACCACCATCATAACCACCACAGCCATCATAATCACCACAGTCATCACAATCACTCGACTAATCTTCATGGCAGCCACTCGGGTGCTCATATATCGTCAATGTCGTCGCCTCCGTCGAGTCCTTCAGTAGTTTCGCTTAAAAAAACAGCCTCTTTTTATGAGCTTCATGACAATATGCCGCGTGTTATCACTCCTCATCCCTCATTCGACACTAACAGCCACAGTAACAATCAGCCGCCACGCACGTATTCGAAAGAAAAAATAATACCGCAGACAATTATTGAAAATTTAAATGAACACCTTGATGAAGATTCGCAGAAGCTTAAATATAAAACAGCAGCTAAACAATTGTCTGCAAGTAATCATGTTAAAATAATTGTTCCTAATCCTAGTCATAATGAAACAGAATCGATACCAATGAGCGTAATTCCACCAAAAATTCAGCAATTAAATGTTAATGTTAATGCTAATACTAGTAAATTATTAATCCCCGTGGAATTAGATCCATCTGTGCATAAAAGTCACAGCGAAGGTAGTTTAGGAAAGTTAAATAATAAAAATCATTCGGCTAAAACTAAAATTACTAACAATGCTAATTTAACTGACCCGTGTGTGCCTTGCCCGCCTGTCTGTCTTAGACCACCTCAGCAGCAAATTGAACCAGCGACAAGTCCAGTTCATAATTCATCAGGACTACCAGGTTCTGTTGGAACAAAAGTAACCAATTCACCGGCCAGTAAAGTTCCGCTGCATCGCCGCTCTAGCGACTCTGATCTCAGCATCACACCCAAAGGTAATATCTGATTCTAATAAGTAAAATTAAAATTTATATAGTTATTAATTAATTATAATAGATCTGTATGACACCAGCAAGCTTGTGTAGCAAACGATTATTCTGCTTCTGGAGTGTCAATTTTTTAATTAATTAGTAGCAATCCTTTATTAAATTGGGACTGTATTTACTATTTATAGGGATTTTTTCTCGGATGTAAATAGAGGAGAAAGAGGCCACAGTGGTGGCATTTTTTTATATTTATTATCATCATTCACTGATTTGTTTTAAATAAATAGTAGAATTAGTGCCTCAGTCACCTCTGTAACATCTCAATCGATATACTTTTTATTTCTTTCATGGCATTTCATTACTTGAAAAAAAAAAAAAGAAAGACATATCGGGAAATTATGTTTTTTTTTTCTGTTCCATTCTCATTATTTCTCCTGCCAGGATTTTGTAAATTCTTTCACAAACGTGAGTACCATACAGGGACCAAAAAAAGATATGTATCATTCATTATGTCAAATGTCGTCTCACTTACTTTTATTATTTTATATTGTTTATTAATCCCTTAAATTTATTTGATCATTATTTTTTTTATTTTAAGTTTTTCTGACGACCCTAGAAGACCTGAAAGAAAAAAATAGCATTTATTTTCGCTCTAAACCATAAATTATCTTGAAAAAAATTTTATTATTAATTTTATTATTAACATTACTTTAAATAACTGACTCAGGACTTGTAGGGTGAATGTTAAATAATTATTAACTATCTAAACTTACTCCGCATGGTTACAGGATTTCTTTAGTTACCTAATAAACCTCTTATCTGTCTAAATAACTAACAAAATAATGACTAATTATTTCTAGCATGTTATGAACGATTGTTAATTTATTTCAAGCTGACACGTATGTCAACTACTAATTGTCGTACTGTTTAGTTAATTTTTTATTTCAAATGCAACTAATATTATATGTTTACAGACAATATTGATGTACAAATAATTATAAATGAATATTTTTCATAATACGTATCACATTTTAAAATAATTATATTTTCTCAGGTAATTCATTGGTCTGCAATGAAAGAACTACTGTGCATATGAAACCCTCGACTGCAATTGTCAGAACGATGAACCAAGATGCTTTGGAAATGTTGGAATATCCATTCATTACTATGCAACACTATCCGCCAGGATTTGTATTAAATTTAGGTAACTATTTACTTATTTTTAAATTAAAATTTTATTTAATTATTTTATTTTTAAAATTTAATTTAATTTAATTTTAAAATTAAATTAAATTAAATATTTTTTTTTAATTTTCATAATTTAATTTTACAACAAATTTATTTTTTTATTTCAAGGAGGATTGGTCAGTTCAAGATCTGTAAAATTAATTGATAGAATAAGTAATCTTGAGGAGCCAGAAGGTCGTGACGCTTGGTGGACGGAAATAAGAATGGAAGTGAGATCTCACGCGCGTGCTTTGGGCTGCAATGTTGTTTTGGGTTACAAAGAAGAGATTAGTATATGGTAAAATTATTATTGATTAATTTTTACTTTATTTTTTTAATATTTTACACTGATACCAGAAACCGTAATATGACATTCAATAGTCTAAGGAATTACAAACATTAAAAAAAAAAGTATCAATAGCTTATTTTATTTTTTAAATATTAATATTATTGAGCTATATGTCTAGCTAAAACGAGAGGTAGAGTATTTTTAAATACATCTTACGTTAATTGCTTTTATCTGAAGAGAATATTGAATATGCTTATTGCATTACAAGTGACGTTAATGACAACAATGCAATCAATTAAAATAGAATTTGTATTCGCATACACCTCATTAAATTCTCACACAGCTCATACTATTGAATTATGTGACACTATTTCAATGAAAAGTGAATAAATTATTTTAAAATTTTCAATATTTCTCTTTTTATCATATAGTAGAAAATTTTGGTAATTATTTACAAGTGCGGTCAACCTCATTTTGGGCCGGAACTAGGTGAAAAATTAACATTTTTCAATTTTTTTTTAATTCTGCCTGTTTTTACAGTGCATTTATGATAAAAAATGTCGTAAAAGGAAAAAAATAAAGATTTCGATAGCTTCTTTGCCTTTAAAAGTTGAAAAAAATTTTGGCTTTCATGTTTTTGGATAAAATTTCTATTTTATCTTTTTTTGATGTATTTTTTTTTTTATAAGTACCTAAAAAAAACGAACAATTTAAAAAAAAAAAAAAAGAAATATCACAATTTTCTAAAAAATTTATAAATTTTATTGAAAATTTGTCAAAATTGTGATAATCATCTTTTTTTTTTTAAATTGTTAATTTGTGTATGTATTTTTCCAAAAAAAAATATATCATTAAAATCAAATAGAAATTTCGTTCAAAAAATTGAAAATTAAAATGGTTGACCCGACTTGTAAATATTTACGAATCTTGCTGGTATATGAGTTTTATTTGAATTTTCAGTGACGACGTGTGTGTCTTAAACGCTTCTGGAACGGCTGCAGTGATAAATTTGCTCAACACAAATCAAGATCAAGACGTTTTGCTCAATAAAAATCAGCAACCGATCACAAACACCAATGAAGGTGATAAAAATATGCACAAATCCATATCAACAAATAAAAACGAAAAAATAGACGACAACGCGAATAACGGACAACTGATACAAACAACAGGCCGTGTTAAGCGTACTTCCGAGAGCAATGATAATGAAATACCATCTATGCCGTTCAACACTGCTTGCAGTTTATGTCATTTGCCTTACAATAGTCGCAGTGTTCCTCTCAAGGTTCAAATGTCAAAGTGCGGTATTTGTAAGCGCGCCAAAGTCCCCGATGTATTGTTTACGACAATAGAACTTCCTGAGAATATACCAATTACCGGAAGAGGAGTATTTATAGAGGCTACTGTTTGTAAAATAAAACGGGATGTAAGGGGCGAATTGAATGCTAAGGAAATATCAGACTGTTTGCCGTTTTTAGAGTATGAATTGCATAGTTTACTGATAAATAAGCTCAAACTTAAAGGTATGAATGCTGTTTTTGGTTTAAAAGTTCAAGTTGATATTGGGGAACGTGTTGTGATGGGGGTAGCTGTTGGTACTGCCGTTTTTTTAACAGCGTTACCCAGTCCGTCGATTCCACAAGTCGCTTTGGGTAATTCTTGGCACAAGGAGGAGCAAGTTGCCGAAATACAGAAGGCTTTGATTGAAACAGTTAAAAAAAATCGCGAACTTTATCGTCTTAAGCCATTGATTGTAAGTTACAATTGTTAGATCAAGCATAATTTTTATTCTTACTTATTATGAATATTAATATTAATATTAATATTTTTTTTTAGGAATTAGAAAATGGACGATCAATGGGAACATCAGATACTGATGACTCGGAAGAAGATTTACCCGATTTTGATCTGGGTACTAAAGATGCGTGCATTCTTGAAATAGACGACGTAGAAGATATGGATAGAATTAATTTATTAATGGATGATAGTACTCCAGAAGGTTTTCACGTGGTTAATACGCAGACCATTCCGGGGCTTGAAGATTTAGAAATAGTGAGAAATTTACAGATGTTTACACAAATCTCACGAACTAAAATCCCAAATGCAATGCCGATACCCATGCTATCGAAGTACTTGAATAAAATTCTTCAAACAATATACTTTAAATTACGGCGTATGGTTCCTTGTGCTCTCTGTGATATGCAATTCAAAGTTTCGCTCCCTGAACCAGACGAGGTGCAGGTTTCAGTCGTCGGAATGGCTTTGGGCCTCGGCGATCCAATTAGAATAAATAAATACAAGCGTAAAGTCATCAACAGCTCAACTAGTCGTGATTTATTGACAAAAAATGGTAATTTTCTGTACGTTAAAAGCTCCAATAGATGCTCATGTACTGGTACATGAGCATCTATTGGGGCTTTTACCATACACGGAATAAAGTAAACTGTAAAATTCACTCGAATTCCGGTTAATTTATATATTGATTTAAATGCCAAGGCTAGAAGTCGAATGGCAAATGGTAGAAATTATATAATGTTAATGGTACACGTAAGTAACAATATGAAACAGTTTTACATCTTTGTATAATAGTGAAAACATAGTGTAGATATACGTAAAATACAAAGAAAAATACAAGAGAAAAAATTTTTGAAGGCTAAGAAATCCTGATGATTGTTTATATAATAGCAATTAGTAAAAATATTAAGTTTACAGGCAATTTTTATTTAAAATCAGTTTGGTTATGAAACTAATTCTTGTATCAGTGAAATTAATCATTTATAAATCAATAATTTATTAGCACGTTAAATTTTCTAATTCCAGATGTTTAAAGAATTTAAATTACAGTTTTAAACAGTACAGCGGACATCGGGGTGGCACAAATGTAACTATTACAAAACTTAATGTAAAAAGGGTAAAAGCCACAAATTATAATTTAATATCGAAAATGTGATTAGTAGCTGTCACTATTGTAAATAACGACTCTCATCTTAAAAAATTACAGTTTCAAACAGTAAAAATTGTCGTTTCAATATATAGTCTATACTGTGAGGAGAAGGGGAAGGTCTCACACTCGGAGAATTTACCATTTGAAACAGTAAAAATTCTACTCTTAAAATATATATTTTACCAGTCCAAGCAAATCAATAATTAGTTTGATTTTTAGCGTTGCGTTCAATATTTACCATTTTACTTCGTAAATATTGACGTTGCTTGTATTAGAACTTTAGTAACTGTAGTTTATACTTATTATTATTCTCAACCGTGATTTTATAATTATTTTAACTCTTTATCACCTTTTCGGTCTTTTTATTATGCTAGTATAAATCTAATTCAAGTGGATGGAAATTTCAACCGGGGAGATCCAGGTTCGATTCCTGGCTTGGTTAATTTTTCATGGATTTTTTTAAAGTTGCTCTTCATTCTCAATAGCTTTCCACCGTTAATACTTGAAAATTAAGTCGAACAGATACTAGCATTCACCCAGGTTCGATTCCTGGCTTGGTTAATTTTTCATGGATTTTTTTAAAGTTGCTCTTCATTCTCAATAGCTTTCCACCGTTAATACTTGAAAATTAAGTCGAACAGATACTAGCATTCACCAGCTTACTAGTGTTCAAGTTCGATGGTTGCCCATCGACCTAACTACCCGAAGACAAATAGTCTCAAATTGTTAGTGAAGATGGAAATTTCCATCCACTTGAATTAGATTTATACTAGCATAATAAAAAGACCGAAAAGGTGATGAAGAGTTAAAATAACTGTAGTTTATATTTTTTACATATCATGCGATCATTTTTTAGGTATGAAATGATAAATATCAAAGTCAAAATTCTTAATTATTATACTTTAACATTTTCGACTTTCACATAGCGAATATTACTGTTTAAATGATAAATATTATAAAGTGATTGTTAAATTCACGGTTTTACTGTTTAAAACGGTAATTTTTTCCAGTTGATCATAACTTATTATTTATTACAGTTTACTTTTTTCGGTGTAAAGTAATTTATGCAGGCAAAAAAAAAATATTTATTTACACTCTTTGCTACTCATTTATTTTACAGATGATTTGATTTTTAATCTCGATGAAGATCAAGCGGAGAGTACAATATCTGAAATAAGCAACAATCAATTAACGCCAATACCAGTTTCATCGCCAGTAGCCTCACAAGCACCTAAATCGAGACCTAGATCGCCGTTCAAGGTGAAAATTCCCAGCCAACACCGGCATAAACATGTACAGTCTTAATTTTTCTCAAACTTATTTCCATTGATGATAAGCTGTTGAATATTCTCAATCATTAAAAAAGTTTATAAAACTTTGTAGGTTCCTTTGAAAGAAAGATACGGTGTAGATATAACGCCTTTGTCTTATCTCCCGAGCGGGAGGATTGAACGTTACTTAGGAAATTTAAACTTCTTCTTCATCAGAGAAAGTACGTCAATCAGAGAGGTAATTTTAACAATAAAATACTTTTTTTATCAGCTTTAAGCGTTTATCTTTTTTAAAACTGACTAACTCTTGATAATTCTGTTAATTTTGTTTTCTTTTCTTTATTTTTCATTTCACCTACACAGAACGGCGGACTAAGTGGATTCACTCACAGCTTTATTACCGAAGTTTTGGCCATTGTTCGCGCTCATATTACGGCATTGGGCGGCAATGCTATGGTTGCTTTTTTTCTGACGCAGTGTGTACTTCTCCACAGCCCACACAAGAATCAAGTGAGTTTTTATTTTGCTTTTATTATTTGTATCCATTCCTTTTACCTATCAAATACTCTATTATTATTTAACCTTCCTAATTATTTAATTACTTTAAAGTATTTTTTTATTTTTAAATCCTTTAATTATTCTTTACACTGAAGAAGACTATTCAATTTCACACTCACTCCAAAAGGTCACTTGTCCTTTAAGATTTAACCCGATCCCTCAGGATTCTAACAAGATAAAATACGTTCTTATATTTCACAAAGTGGAAAACATTCTATTATTTCCTTTGTCATTCACTCGTTCCTTTAATACTTGAATTCGAATATATAAACATATATACGTCCACAACACTGATAAAATTCAAGATCTTTGTAGTAAACAAAAAAAAAACTTCAATGCCCGTTTTCCGGAACAAGAATTTTAATTTTGAGAGTATGCGTTGAGAAAAAAACAATCAGACTCGCTTCTCATCGATTATCTATTTATACTAATAATAAAACTACAAAGCTCTATTATTCATACTTTATTATGAAAAAAAAAATTATTTAAGGTGATTTTACACTAATAATTGATCTGTCATTTCAAATTTTAATGATAAAATTATTATTAATAACTAGCAACCTTGCAGTCAATATGTGACTGCCGTGACTTGTGAACCATAAAAAATTAAAATTTTGCTATATTAAATAATGACTTTTGTTAAATTGCACTGTAATTTCTTAATTATTGACGTTTTTTGAGATATAAGCTCATCCCAATGTTACACTCATCAAGAGCTTTCATTTGAGTACCCACATGCATTTTGATATATTTTTCATACATACATATATATAATATATATAAATATATGAAAAATTGATGTGGGTACTCGAATCAAAGGTCTCGATGAGTGTAATGTCGGGGTGAGCTTATATCTTTACAAATGTCAATAGTTCACAAGATACAAGGTCATTTCTTCATTATTGACATTTTTAAAGTTATAAGCTCATCTCGATGTTACTCTAATCAAGAGCTTTCATTTGAGTACCCACAAGCATTTGATATATTTTTCATATATACATATATATGATATATGATATATATAAAATATATGAAAAATTGATGTGGGTATTCAAATGAAAGGTCTTGATGAGTGTTAACATCGGAATGAGCTTATATCTTTCAAAATGTCAATAGTTCATGAGATACAGGGTAATTTCTTAATAATGTATCTTGAGATAGAGCTTTTTCGAATTCAGCCTAAATACTTATCGATGACACTAAAATTCTTTTAAAAAAACCGATTGTATCATATGACTATCCTGGAAACAAAATTTTTCTTATTCTCTTAATAATATAGATAATATTAATTTTCATATTTACACCCACATTTTGCACTATCATAGATCTAGAAGACTAGAATAGTGCGATAAAAATCATGCATGGACTCTAGATGTAATTTTCCGCACTCCCGCTTGTGAGAGCAAACTCAACAGTGCGTGAGGAATAAAAATATAAATACTTAATACTTACATAAGTAATATATATCTCATTGATATCCCAGGTGAAGACTATATTATGTTTTTCATGAATTAATAATTTTAAAAAATTTTTCCTAGTAATTTTTATCTTCTAATTAATAAATTTTACATCATAATTATTTTGGTGTATGACACCTGGAATGAAAATACAAGCCAGATTGATCGCCCCATTTTCTCGCAAGCATTAAAAAACAATTTTATATGAATTATTAAAAATCCCAAGTGTTCCGACCTTGAGAATCGTCGAAAAAAAAACTTATTGTTTTTCATTTTTTACCATAAAATATTTATTTATAAAAAAAGTATTCCATGTCAGAGGGTAATTTTTTGTCAGATACAACTTCTGGAAAGTAGTCTCTTACTCGATCAAAAAAAATGTATTTTATATCTCGAAGAAATGATGAGCTGACGAGAGATTATCTCAACTTACGTATGACTAACAGAAATAGAATTATTTGAGTTGGTAGAAAGGTCGGGCAGATTGTTAAATAATAACAAGTATTCGATTCAAGTAAATCCATATTTTAATTCCTCAAACATTTCAATATCCTTTATAATCATTGAAATATATCCTATGCCAGGGATTTAAATCGTTATCTCTAGCTCGTTATATTCTAGGGGCAATGTTTAATCAACGTGGGTGGAGATGTTGTATCAGTTTCATACTTTGGCGACGAAAAACACAACCAGAATTGCTGACAACACCCACCTTACTCCGCACCGCCGTAAGTTTATGATAGTTTAGTTTTCAAAGTACCGTCGTTACTATTATTGTTATTATTGAGTTACTATATTCCCCCGCAACTCCATTAGTTACTCATTAATTACAATCGTCAGTGAGAACCAATTCGAATTATCATGGATCCAATTAATAGTTACTGAAAATTACTCAAAAAATAGGAAAACAAAATGTCATGGAAAAATTTTTTGCTAAAAGCATTTTTTTTATTAAAAATAAAGTAATAGTATATTTAGAAAAATAAATATGGGGTTATATCCACTTGTAATTTTAAAAAAATCGAATTTTTTTTTTGCATATTTTGAATGTACATATATTTGAGAATGTCCGAAAATTTCACATTGATCCGAAGAATAATTTCAGAAAAATTAGCGTATTTGTAAGGATTTTTTAACTTAGTTTAAATGATTCCCAAAACTTCAAACGCGTTTTTCTCGAAACGGTGTTTTCAAAGTCGGTGAGGAAAATTTCTCCAAAACGGTTGGACCGATCGGCTTGAAATTTTCACACGATCTTCTTAGATACTTGTATCAGGTAATGATCGAAGGAATAAGGTTTCTGATAATAATTTCGATTTTTTAAGCCACTTCAAACTGTAATTTTTCTTGAAAAAAAAAACAATTTTTTTCTTTGAGAAGCCGCCATTTTGTCAAAAATAAAAATTTTTACTATTCCATCGATCATTACCTGTATTCATGAATCCTAAAAATAAATCTTTTGTTTTTTTTTTTTATTTCTGATAATTTGGATCAGAGATATCTTCCTCACACCTTTTTGTGGAGGTCCTCTAGGAGATCTACTACAGGAATAACGGAACCCAATATTTTTGTAAATACATCGCGAATTCTTAAAATAAATTAAATTCGCTATATGTACATTTATTCTATGTATTTATTTAATAAAAAGCTTCTTCGCAAAAAATTCACAAAAAAACACGTTTTTCGGACTTACAAGTGGATATAACCCCTTTACTTAAATAGAAGTGAGATTGAAATCCATGACAATAGATAAATAAATTTTTTGATAGTAATTAATAATTCTAGTCGTTGATTAATTGATAAGTGATAGAATAGCTCAAAGCTATTATTATTATTGAATTATTAATATATTTAATTACGTATTTTTTAGCTGTATTTTGAAGGTTTCTTTTTACAAAATCAATTTTGCTTAGAGAATTAATTTTTAAGATAGTAATTTATTATTAATAATGTCTCTCATTCAGACTTTTTGTACAGCAATCTTAATTAAGTCATGTTATATCTTACGAAAAAAAAATTTAATTTATATTTTATAGAAAAAAAAAAAATTATTAACATGTCTTAAAAATAGTAATGAATTTGTAAATATAATACGTTATTTAGATACTGTGATTTTTAGGTGCAATAATAAATTTTTGTAACACATGCAAAGAAAATAATTTTGACGTTACTAATTTGTACATACATACACTATTGCAATAAGTAAAGTAACGATTATCATGCGAATAATATACACAAATGTTACTCTACTTACTCATTAGACAATAATAATTTTTTTGCATTTGATACAAAAAATATACATGCACATTATTGGAGATGCGAAAAATAGTCAAGTGTATGATAAATAAATTGTTTTATTTATTCAGGTTATAATTACTAATAAGATTGTTAATATTTAGTCAGGTGCCTGTGTTTATAAGATCGTTAAATATTTAGCGCATTTGTCTCAATATTTAAATAATACCCGATATGTATTTTTAATGTACATACTTAATAGTACTTAATTTTACAATTAATATTGAATTTAAATCAATCGTTCTCTCAATTATGAGACATGTTCAATTTGATAATAGTATAAGTATTTTATCATAAAAAAACACTTAATGAATTTAATTAATACTTATATATAACTTATTCCGTTGATTCGTTACCATTTATTCAAAAATCTTGGAAATAATTGATCAAAAAAATTTTTATTCGTTTCTGCTTAAAATTTTTCGATTAAACAAGGTTTATATTTCGAATATAATATCAAAAGTATTTTAATAGCTTACAAAAAAATATATATGAAAAAAATTTTCGTATTTATACACTGCTCATTAATATATTATATAACATTGGAAAAAACAATATTTATAGTTTATAGTTTATTAAAAACTTTTCCAAAATTTGCCAAGCGATGTTATTCAATAGCGAGAGTCATTAGCGAATCAATGACCCGCAGACGAATAAATTAATTATATTTTTTTTTTTTTCATTACTTTTCAGCGAACGAACAATGAATAATTTGCATTTAAGAATGCAAATTATTTATAATCGGCAATTATTATAAACAGAGTCTTAACTAAAGGTTCAATAACACTCAAGGAAATTTTTTAACTCATATCAACAATCTGCGCGTTTTAAATTCAGGAAGATAAGGAAACGCATTTCGAAAATCATCGATGTTGCAACAGTAGCTGTATCCGCGTTCGGTTCTCATGTCCCACTCGGGAAAATTTATTTCCGTGCAAATATCTTCGCAAACAATATAATCCCCCGTTAGTCGATTTAAATGAGGATTATTTACGGTAATGAAGACAACTCCGGCTTGTCTGTATCTGTCGTAAACAACTTTGAAAAGTAATTTAGGCACAGGAACGGCAACTCTTCCTTCATCGTGATAATTCAAGTAAATTTTCTTCATTTTTCCTTCAAAATCTTCAAGTTCAAGGACTCCCAGTGATCCTGTCCAAACTTCAAGGTTACGATTTCGTCTGCTCGCGTAATTCCGGACATTTTTTTCAATTTTTTCCCAGTTACCGTCGTTAATATTTTGCCACATTGGTACCGTATTGACGTAGTAAAATGTCGCACGTTGTTGCGCTTCGAATATAAAATCGAGTTTGGCTGCCAAATGACCGCGCGACAAAAAGTAATTACCTGTAAAGTTAACTTCAATAATAGAACTTTTTCAATTAAGGTAAAAGACCCAGTTATTAACAATGGCCTAGTTGTTTGACACTTGCAATTTTATTCTAATTGAAAAAATAAAATGTTCTCAAAAAATCAATCATCTTAAAATTTATAATCAAAAGTTATATTTATTTATTTATTAAAGTTGCTTTGTTTTTTTTTAATTAAAATAAAATTGCAAGTGTCAATAACTGGGTCTTTTACCTTAGTTTCAATTAAAAATAACAACATTTAATACCTCTGTCATGAATATATCGATTAGCAAGTTTTTGACTTCCTAAAATTAAAGCCAAAGTTTCTTGTTGATGAGATCTGCTGTAAATATTATCCATGCTAATCCCTTCAAAGAAACCGCTTTTGGTAAACGACGGCCGGGGAACTGAAATTTCTGCAGAATCAATTACTGATGGTATTAATGCGTGTGCATAAATCGTTTGACCTAGTTGTTCATCGTGACAAAAGTCGAGTATTCTGATAAATTCATTTTGTCTGTGTACAAAAATAGAAATTTATGTTTCATCTTAATGGACAAAACGTGAAAAATCCCATGCAAAAAAATATTATGATTCATTATAAATTTTAAATTTTAAAATAAATATAACTTTATAGTAAATTTAGGATAAAATCATTGTAATTTTCTTATATTAAATTGAAAAATAAAAAAAAATGAGTGATTCGAATTTTATGAAATATTTAATGAAATTTTTTTGCTAAACTAAATGATTTTATAGCAACATCTAATTGAGACATTGATATGTAAAAAATATTTTTAATCAATACATGAAAATGCTATTTAAAAATTAAGTTTGACTATTGAAAGATTTAAAATAAATATATAAAATTTTTATAGAATCTTATAAAGTTTTCATACACTGAAAAAAAAATTAATTTGATTCAAGAGAAAAATTCTTGAACCAAGAATATAATTTTGAAGGTGGTAACTGTCTTGAATCAAGCCAAAAAATTCTTAAATCAAATAAAATTTTCTTAAATTAAGAATTATTCTACTCAAATCAAGAATATTAAGTTCTTCAAAATTATATACTTGATTCAAGAACATTTTTTTTTGTGTAGAAACAATAATTTAATATTAGATTTATTATAACGTTTTATTTGTTTTAAATTTTATTAAATTTCATATGAAATTCATAATAAATTTTTTTACAAAGGATGTAAGGGAAAGTTAAGCAAAATTTGGCCACTATTTTGAATAAAAAATATTCATCTTAATTTAATAGTAGCGACTTTTTTTTGCCCCGGTATCCCTTTACTTGTACAGAAAAAAAAATTCATCGTAACCAACTAACTCATCTGTTCGAATAGAAAATCCAATTTCTCCAGTAACTCCCACTTTACACCCTCTAGAAATTCTACGAACAGAGTGCTGTGGATATTTATTGCAATAAATTTGATGAAACATCTCTGTTCCGCCATCGTGTGTCAACAAAAATGTTTTATCTCTAATGCATTCAAGTGTCGTACTCTCGTATGATTTTCCTCTTGAAAAATAAATTTTACCTCCAGGGCATGCGACGCGGATCGAATCCCCAACTTTCACAGTAATCCTATTGCCAGGTTCCTTGGTATAAATAAATCCTCTGTGTAATTCGGGGTGCAATAGCAACGGCATTGGTTTTTGTAGGTCTCTACTTATTTGAATGGTACATTTTTCTTCTTCTACAATGGTAATTTTTAATTAAAGTTCATTTGAACAGTTTTTTTTTATAATTCGGAGAATTATAATTTATAATTTGTTATTCTAAATTACCCATCGATTCAATAATTTAATTATTTAATTTAATACTTACTGCAGAAAAATCCACTGAAAAAAAGAAAAAAAAATATTTTTAATAAAATAATTCTAATAAATAGATAAAATTATTTATTAAAAATAATAACTTACAATGATACAAAGCAAAGAATTTTAATCATTTTATTTTAATAAAAATTTTTCTTAAACTGCTGCTTTTTTTTTTCAATTACTTTTCTGCAATAAATTGAACCATTGAAATAAAATAATTTAACGTGATGAATGAGTAATATTAAAAATAAATGGCACGTATATTAAATTGAAGTTTATTGAGGAAGCGAGTGTGACGAATACAATGTGTCACTTAAATTGTCCGGGGATCAACAGTACCGACAGGTAGTTGATTAATCGAAACATGGTCATTAAAAGTCTCCTGGTGACATTTAGACACTGAGGATTGATGTTTCCCCGGTAACTCTGTCAATTATTCGCTCACAATATACATTACCTCGTCTTTCTCATCTAGTACCATAGCTCTTTGCTCTCTTGCATTTAAAACAGCTTAAACGTATTTACCTTCATTTACGTTTTGTAATTTTAAAATATCATTATTCAGAAATAGAATGAAGATTATGAGAATTTATGTGTTTAACTTTTGGTTCAAATATATAAATACAGTTATTTAACAGCTGAGAAACTAAGGCGTTAATTCAAATGCTTATTATTTACGGCGGCTGATAAAACTAACTCAATAAAAGTCACTTGAAATTTATTTTCACATTAAATTTAATCTTTTGTTTATTCTCTTTATCATAAAATTTTTGATAGAAGTTTTTTTTTCTCAACATCGGGAAATTTAAATTTGTCAGTCAAAAACTATACGAATAGCTTAATAAAAGTATAAATTTGCCCATTATTAAGCCTAATAATAATTATTAAAAAATGAATAATTAAAAATTAAAATCATTAATTCTCGTGAATAATTATATTAGAAAAATAAATTAATATAGCAACGAAAAATTATGCTCGAAATTTATTTCTCAAATAATATTCATAATTTATCTAATATAATACATCATACAATAATATAATAGTTAAAATTTATTGGTTGATCTCCGTGGTTGGATTATTAACATGCTCACCGCTAGAATTTAGTTATTGGCCTGGAGTGGGTTCGAACCCCAGCGGTTGCTTTAAATGCTTTTTTACTATCAAGTTAAATCACCCTCTGACTCCGCTTTGACGGAAAAACCTAATTAATTACAATGATTAGGGACAAAAAGTAGGAAATGTACAAGAAAAAAGTTTGTAAACTGAAATTAATTTTTTTTTTGTAGCAGTAATTATTTGTCATTATATTTATCCATTGGTTAAAATAGTAACAATTATAATTTGTGTTTTATATTTGAATCAAAAAAACTCATTAAATTATAATCATTCGCAATATTGTTATAAATTAATTTACAATTTGTAAATCAATTGCAATTACATAATTTTATAGATAACATCCACGAAAAAATTTAATATTTGTTAAATATATTTTTTAATATGTGTAAAAAATAAATAAAAGTATAGCTTCTTCGGAAAGGTTTGAAATTTTTATAAATTGCAGTAAATTTCTCAATCTTTTCAATAGAAAAAAAATTTAATCAACAAATATTTGAAGCCAATTTCGTAAAATATTTTACAACGCTACAAAGTACTAGAGCAATCTCAAGGATCGAGATAAGCGTAAGATATAAGGAGCGTATTTTATCTTACCTGCAACCGGATTCCACAAAGGATTAAATATCGTAAGCTTCTTTGTAGAAGAATACAATTTAATAGTGTGTACTCTTAAACCTCAAGCAGCTGAAGATGAATTGAAGAGAAATGTACTTAAAATTATGATTATTGCGATCGTTCTTTTAAGGATGTAGGAGTGTTAATAAGGATAATAATTGCACTAACAGTTAATACTGTTTTTTAGACTTATTTTATAGACACATATGTAACAATAAATATATAATCAAATGCTTTAGTGCATGCAAAATTTTTAAATAAACTAATAAATTAAATAATGTATACATTAAATTATTATGTAATGCATCAGTGGGTGACAAGTTACAAGTGTTAAGTACAAAAACTAAATTCAAAAAGGTAAGTATGATACAAATATTGTTACTTAAAAAATTAAAAAAATTTATAATACTGGCTTTTAGGTAGAATTTATGCCAAAATTCGGAAATGTTGATTAATTAAATTTTATTTGCACATAATTTGAATTTTTATTAAATACAAGACACGAAAGCAATCGTGCGAAGCGCTATTTTTCCCGTCTACGAATAATTGGTGGACTATTAATTTATTTAAACATTTATATTTTTATGAATATATATATTTATATTTATATTTAAATGTTTTTATTTATTTGATTGAATTTTTTTGTGAATTTAATGTCTGTATCAATATGTATCACTTAATTTTAGGTAACATATGTAGCGTCTCAGTATGGAAAATGTTATATATAAGATTTAATTTCATAAAATATATAATTTATTTTGTTATTTGAATAAATACTTTCCATAAAATTAATTTCATAAGTCAACTATTCAAAAAAATAACAGTTATATTATTAATAAATTTAAAATTTAATAAGTTTAATATCAACTTCCTTTTATTTTGACTAGTGAGTTAAAATAACTCTCATAAAAAAATATTAAATAAATTTTAACATTAACTTGATTGTGATAATAATAATTTAGCTGTTAAAAGTTCGAATACATAAGACTCTTTACAAGGTAGTTCGGTTAAATCTAATGCAAGTCCTTTAGTTTTAAATCTTAGCGTCTTCCAAATCGTAAAAATACATGATCAACATCTTGGCGTTTAACGTTGTTTCCAATTACCGGCACGTTTTCACGTAAAATCGGAGCTGAAAAATTAAATTTTTCCATTAGAATTTAAATTATTTATTGTTTTCTTGATTAATTTTAATTTTTTTCCAATTTTCGATCTTTTATGCTTCTAAAAACAATGTATTAAATTTTTAAATATTTTTTCGAAACTATATTCAATATTATCAATATTGTTGCAGTTTTAACTCGATAAAAAATCATCCGATTAATTAATTTTTTTATTTTTATCAGTAATTAATTTTTTCTACAATAATCCTTCCGTTGTTTTATTGGACAAAAATTGAAATTATTTGGATGGCCACTCTAATTGTGCTCTTTAAAGCAAAATTCAGTTTTATAGCGCGTTAAATTAAACTAGCAACCATGCAGTCACTACATGACTCCCGTGACTTGTGAACTATAAATAAATAAAATTTTGCTCCATTAAATAATGACTTTTGTTAAATTGCACTGTACTTTCTTAATTATTGGCATTTATAAAGATATAAGCTCATTCCGATGTTACGCTCATCAAGAGGTTTCATTTCAATACTCACATGCATTTTGATATATTTTTCATATATACATATATATAATATATATAAATATATGAAAAATTGATGTGGGTACTCAAATGAAAGGTCTCAATGAGTGTAATGTCGGGGTGAGCTTATATCTTTAAAAATGTCAATATTTCACAAGATACAAGGTCATTTCTTAACTATTGACATTTTTAAAGATATAAGCTCATCCCGATGTTACACTCATCAAGAGCTTTCATTTGAGTACACACATGCATTTTGATATATTTTTCATATATACGTATATATAATATATATAAATATATGAAAAATTGATGTGGGTACTCAAATGAAAAGTCTCAATGAGTGTAATGTCGGGGTGAGCTTATATCTTTAAAAATATCATTAGTTCTCAAGATACAAGGTCATTTCTTAATTATATATCTAGAGATGGAGCATTTTCGAATGCAGTAAATTGACTATCGGTGGGAATTATATGAAACCTCGAAAAGGTACAAATTCAAATTAAGACTTGCAATGAGACTAAATTTTACTAAAAAAACCGATTTTATCATATGACTATCCTGGACACCAAATTTTTCTTATTCTCTTAATAATATAGATTAAACTCTTCATAATTATTCGGAGGACGGAAATTGTAAATTAACAAAATCTTCAACTCTATATCAAATTAATTATGAATTATATTAACTATTACATTATCATGAAGAGATAATAAATTAGTTATCTCTTGTTAACAAACTATACTGACATGATTAGTCGGAAACTTTGTCTGACCAATACCGTATTACAACTACTTCTCCGATATCTATGACGCGAACTAAATTCTATCTTGTTACAAACGCTTCCCACTACACGGTACATAATAAAGTTGACGTGACATTAAGCCTCTTAGTCTCGATATATCGGCTAGAGAACCCGACTATTGTCATTTATAACAACCTATATCAGGATGTCGTGGTTTGGGCTTACCTTTGTCGATAATGTAATTTTCCATAGCCATACCAAGCTGGTAAATGGTCGATAAGGCGTCACAGACCTTGCGAATCTTTGGCGGCACCTCATCCAATATGCTTGGATTGCACTGAGCTGGTGGCATGCCCAAAATTTCTCCCGAGAGTATACTCATTATGATAAAAGTTGTTGACAGGAGATAATTCATTCTGTCTTAATTCCTTTAAAAAAAAAAATTAATTATGTATTTTTCATAGAGTAATTAAGTAGTCACGTAGACCGTGGAATTAATCGATTAATTATTGGCAATTAATACCAAAGTTCGATAGAAAGAATAATGATATGCAACTAATCTAGATGATATTGTATGCTAGTACTGAATATCTCATTAAAAAATGTTGATGCAATGTTGAAGTAAATTGAAAAAAAAAAAAAAAACGATTCAGTAGTCGCAATTATTTACAGTCAGTCACAAAAGAAAATTTGTCAGAAGCACGCAGATATCCTTGATGGTTTACTTTTACTATTATAAGCTCGTAAATTCGAATTAAAGTAAGGCTATTTATTTATTTTACTGTGTAACTGAAAGGTGCGCGCAATAAAACTACTAGGTTTCTTTATTACTAAGCGGGTGGTTTTGTAATTCGCCTCGCTGACGTTCTATTGACTTAAAGTAATCTATGTTGCTGAGAAAAATAAAAAAAATACTTCCATTTTGTTATATATTTTGATATTGCATTGATATTAATTGTTTGGAGTGGAATTAATTGTGTAGATGTGGAACTATCTATTTTTATTTATAAAAAAAAAATTTTTTTATTTATTTTGTTAGTTTTTGCGGTAGATTTACAAGTCTGCAATCCAAATTATGAAAAAAAAAATTTTCACTGACATTTTTTAATTTCTAAGTCAAAAAAAATTTCTACTGATCTTTTTATTCATTGAAATTTTTAAGAAATTAATATGTAAAGTATCATACTATTTTTTCTTCTATAAAAAGCGTGAAAAAATTAACAAATTGATAAAAATATTATGATGTAAATATTTTTTATGAATTTTTGAAAAATTTTTTTAAATTGCAATATTCTTACGTTATTTTTCATATTTTGTAGTAAAAATATAATCAAATAATAATAAATCGCTAAAAATGAATAAAAAAGATTAATTTCTGAGAAAAAAAAATTTTCACCCAATCATCTATTGAATCTTACGTAATAGACAATGATTAATTATAATTATAAAAAGTTTTAATTATCAATTTATGTATTAAACTTTTTTCAAGAAACTTGATAACTTTTTATTAATTAGTTTCCAGGTAAAATTTTTTTCTTCTTTATTTCGAGGAATTCTTTGGAGCTTCAAATATTTATTTATTAAAAAACTCGTTGCTTTTAAACATTAATTAAATTTGTAATCGTTACTCGACGTATAGAGGTAATTGAAATAGTTTATTATTTTCCATTAAAAATAAAAAAAATAAAATTTTAAAAAAACCTGAAGCTAAAAATAAGAAGTTTAATGAACTATGCGCCCTTGAACTCATGTAGCTCTTGTTCCATCAACTTCACCCGGAAATCTTTTAGGAAGTGAATAAGGATGAAAGTAGACCCGGAAGGTCAGGGGTAAAGTGCCGTCCGGACATTGAAATCGCAGAAACCACGTGACGGATTCAGTCGAAAAAGAATATAATAAAAGAGTCTTTAGAAAAACAAACATCCGAATGAAATAAAAGTTATCCATTACAAGAATGAAATAAAAATAAATGACTCCTGAAAAAAAAAGAGTCTGTCGCAACTTGTCGAGGAGCAAAGAGTTTCTTCTGTAGATTATTTTTAGCTGAGATCCGCGATTGCGGGATCAATGGTAGACATTAGTAGACATTGTTGTAGATAAAATTTTACTCACAGAAATAGGAATTGCTTACAAGTAAAAAAATACAAAGAGATCAGCGGATATTAATCGTGAGGTTCATATATAATGTGACGGATCTTGGATGACAAACATCTGTCGCTAAACTTAAACAATGAAATATTATCATCACGTACATATGTTTTTATATCATTCTCACTCTTGCTGAATTCAATGTCTCCGTGTGATAAGTGATGAGTTTCGTTGCTATTATTTTCAGACAACAACAAAAGTTTCAAGATCGTATCGCGCTTATTAAAAAAGTTCTTCACTTCGGACAATTTGTACCCTCTCGATTGAAATCAGAGAAATATTTTTTTGCTTGCAAAAATAATTTATTAAAGAATTCTATCCGTAATTTTTTTTTTTTTTGTAATTTTTTAAAAGATCCGAAAAATTAAAAAATAACAATTAGTTGTCTTTTAATTTTAGTACTATAAAATTTTTGGTTCAAAAAATGCACTAAGAAAAATCAACTTCATTTAGAAGAAAAATTCTTAAATCAAAAAATCATTGAAATTTTTAAAAATGATTTTTTTGGTTCAAAAATATTTCTCTTAAATTAAATTATTTTTCATTATTTCTTCTTCATTATCCAACTATTTGAAAATAGTCCTTGAAGCTAATAAGCTACCTCTATTTTTACATTAATTAAAATTCAGTTTAATTATCTCTCGTATTCTTTTAATCAAAGTTTGACTTCAAAGCATTTAATCAAATCCAAATGCTCATTACATATCCGTTTTATATTTCTGCAATTTAAGGGCGTATTTGCCTTTGGCGCCTCTTCTCAATCGTTTTCTATTAATTTACATTTACTAAAGAACAAAACCAGTGTAAAGAAATGAAAAAATACAAATCTTTTATTTTATCTCAAATAATTTTCAAAACTTTTAAATTAATTAAAAAAACATAATGCACTTATTATCCAATAACTACAAATAAACTCGCCTTGTTATAAATTTTAAATTAGCTATTAAAAATTTTTCTATAAAAAACTTACATTCACCAGCGGGTTAATGAGTAAGTTTATGATTGACATCTTATTAAAAAATAACAAACTATTTTTTTCTTGTTTAAAAATTAAATCAAAGAAAAAAAAGTAATTGTAAAATAAGTAAATCTTATTCTTCCACTAAAAGTTCTTATCAAAAGTTTCTGAAAAATTTTGACATTGATTATTAATTACAAGTTTTAACAACTGAAATAATGCATAAATATTCTGTTGATTAAATTGTAAAAGTAGTAAATAATTTTAACAAAACAAACAATAAAATAATGAGTGGATAAAAAAGGATTCGGATTTATAGCTTGAATTACAATCCAATGGACAACCTGTTGCAATTTTAAATTAACTTTCAAGCTTCATACACTTGGGTTAACATTCAATAATAATTCGAAGATATAATTAGTATCCCGTGAGAAAAATTCCGACAAATTTTATGATAAGTATTTATGTCATGGACAGAAACGGAATAATTTAGTCGCGAGTCAATGATTTTGAGTTCAAAAATATTTATATTAGTATATATTTATATTTTTCAAGATACTGTTGCTGTTTATTTTAAACCAGTAGACTGTAAAATCAGACGTGGCACTTTTCTTCTTGATTTATCGCTTTTTAATTAATGAAATATTTACTTGTTGATAAGCATATAACATCAAGGGGATCGATAGTAATTAATCGAAGTTTATTTTTTTTTTTCAAAATTGTCATGTTCTATATAAGACAAAAATGATCTTAAATGTGATCATAAGTCTTGGAATCTTCGTGATTCAGTTGAACGTAAAGTGAGTACCAAAAATATTTTTTTTTCTTTTTCAACCCTATTATTAATTATTTCATTTATAATGACGGAATATATTTAATTATTTCTAATATTTTTATAGAGAAGTTTGCCATTTGTAACAAAAAGTCAGATAAATTTTTAACTTCTGGTAAAAAAAATTCAAAATTTTCAAAATTTGAGCAATATTTACTTATTTTATATATGTATATACTTCATTGTAAAATAATTTGTGTTCATATATACATTTTGAGGAAAATATTTCCTTATTTTCATCACAATTATTTTTTTATAACAAAGAAGAAAGAATTTCAAAAGTTACTGTCTACTTGAATTTGTTCATCTGGCTGCACAAATTTTATAACAAGCTTAATCCCGTACTGCATCTTTTGATATATTGTTATCATTTCGTAGAAAAAAAAAATGATATCCCACAATTGCTAATTAAGAAAAAAAAACCCAACCCATCAAATATGCAAAAGTTTTTCACATTTGATTTAAAAGCTCCGTCTTCTATGTGCTTATATTAAAAAAGAAGCATAAACTAAAATTTAGAATTCTAAACTTGATTAAAAAAAAAAATAAAGAGCCAATTGGCCCGTGTAAAAAAAAATCGTCTTAAAATTGTCTTAAAATTGTCGTTCGTTTAAGATCTTAAACGTGACACAAACTAAGACTATTAAGACTATTAAGAAAATTAAGACTTTTAAGACGCCAAAAGAAAAATTCCGAGAGCAGATTTTTGAAAATTTTGTTCTCGAATTTGTTGTGAAAATTAATTTTTAGATGATTTTACGACCTTCTAACCGCAATATTTTTGAGTAAGATGTTTTTAAATTGAATTTAAAATTGTTAAAAAATTATTATCTGACAATTTAAAGACTAATTTTAAGACGATTTTTTTTTACACGGGAATGAATTTTAATTTTTACAAACCAGTGAATATTCATTAGTGCAAAAGAGCTGTTTTAATAAAAATACTAATCACACTTATTTATTTACATAACAATTCCTTTTGTCATGTACTTCTTATAAAAACTCTTAATAAACTAATTAGACTGTCTCCCACGCTGCTCCTACTGTGTCTGAATACACCCCGAGACTAATTTATTTTTTTATTTTGACAAATTGCAATTAATTATTTCGTAAGCAAATAACCATTTTTCAAACCCACGAGTTCCGAGAAAAGTTCCCGCAACTGTTTCTCTGAGGTAAGAAAATAATTCACATTTAAAGTTACTTTCTCGGCTCTGATTGTCGCACCAATAAAAGTCATCTTAATAAGTGAAAATAACTTTATACAAGCGAATGCCATTTGCACAAAATATCTCAAATAATCAACAATAATTTTTTCTTTAATAATTTTATACACTACAAAATAAATTAACTCGATTCGAGAGAAAAATTCTTGATAAAATAATTTTGAAGAGGGTAATTGTCTTAAATCAAGACAAAAAATTCTTGAATCAAGTAAAATTTCCTTAAATCAAGAAAAATTTGTTAGCTCAAGAAT